ACCATTCCAAAGCCATGCACATGCAGTATAGCAAACGTGTTCTAGAAAAACAAGAAAATACCTAGTGTTAGAATACGATCTTTGTGACTTCATACTTCCAGGGTGAGATAACAACTTTGATACCCTGAAGCCTGAAGAAGAGCTGTTTTTATAATAATGCTTCTTTTGCTGACTCCACAAGGAAATCACAAATGTTGGGATATGGTTTCAGAGGGTTTAATCCAAGTGTTGGTCCCATGCTGAAGGATATTAAGCCATAAATGACTACCTGGTCATTTAAACCAGGAAGTTGAAGATAATTACATACATCTTTTAGTTGTTATTGATTACAGAAACGCCACAACCTAACTATTTCAGCCCAAGGGCTAACTAGGTTCAGAGGTACCCTTTTCTTTCCATGCAGATCACATAAACAAAGACACCTTAAAGAAGGACTGGAAATTGGGATTCATATCAGTGCAAAAGTATACTTTACTCAGAGAACCTAAATTAGTTGTTCCATTTCCATGTTACAGAGACAAAATTAATAGCATTTCTTCATATGTGGAGGCAGCATTTGCACTGAGGTGATTACACTTGCCAAAACAAGCAAAAGCCTCAGCTGATGAAGATTTTTGCTGTTATCTGCTATTACTCCCTTCTCTGCAAAAAAATTCTGTCTTAGGCTTCTTTGACTTATTACAGTAGAGAGCTAAAACACTACTCTTCTAAGTAGCTTTATGTAGTACAAAGACTCTGCAAGATCCCATCACAGCTCTAGGCACCTATGAATAGACAAACCCATATATCCATTCAACCCTGAAAGATATTTATACCAATGCAAAATGAATACATTATACTATCACTCTGGTTTGATGGCAACTGAGGTCCATCAGTTAATCAATTGTGTGCAGCGCCAAAATCATACTGAAGGGACACAACAGTCCCTGCCCTGGCAACCTCATGAACTACTTTTCCATCCCTTCCATGTTACACTTGTGTGAGTTCTACACATAGGCAGCAAGAAAGGATTCAAAATAAAACCCACACCAAAACAAAACCCCCATTGTGTACTTTCTGATTAATTTTTGAGTGCACCTGAAGCAATTACAAGAGTAGTAATGATATTCTTCATAGAGCCTGTCCCTTAATGTGCACCATAATTAGAGGAAACTTGGATCCCAACAGACATGGTCTCTAAAGACTCGGTGGATGGGGGGGTGGGGAGGGGTAAGAAGGAGTGGGGTAAAAGGCGAGGGGGTAAGGCCATTAAACGTAGCCAAGGCACCTCTGCCTATGCCTCTCAGCACAGACCAATGCAAATATGTGATCTGAAAATTAACACAGCTAGGAAGGAAACATCCCACAGGGAGAATCAATACCCAGCAAAGGATAATGGGAACCCTGTGCAAGCAGCTGTGATCTGCCCTCTGAACATTAGCACCTGTCGACGACAGCAATCAATGCTGGTCAATGGGCAGCTCTCCTTACAGCTCAGTTCACACAATGATCGTTTGCTGGAACCAACACAGTGGCACCCCATGCTGCCAAATGGTGTCCCTTTCTTCCTAAATGCAGACAAACAATGACTTCCCCAAATAACTGGCACTGGTCTTTTTAATCTTTCCTCCCTCCCTTCTGCTTTAGCCTTTTAGCAGTATATGAGGATCCATAGAATCCACAGCTAGAAACTAAGTTAATTTCAGAATGAGTTCTGCCAAGGAGTCAAGGCACGACAGGCACCTCAATTCAGCCATAGCAAGGAATTCAGGTGTAACAATTTTCCATTGGTACCATGTTTGTCTTGTACTTCATGATTATTGTTAAAGAACCGTACTTATTACCCTTTCAAGGACAGTGGAAGAGTAAAACCGGAGATGTTCAGAGCAGGTTGGAATTTGAATTATTCTCCACAGGGCAGAGAAATTTTGCAGGCAGTGACCTTTATTCCTGTCTATAGCTAAGTTGCGTCACTGTTAAGATCAATCTTGTCAACAGCCTTTGTGTGAGTCTCTATACAGTAATATAGTAAAAAGAGAAAAAATTGATATAAGCAAAGAGTCATGATGATTTCATGGAGTCTACTGGGCAGAAAGAGGAATTGTCTGATGTAGTCAGCAGCAGCTCCTCAGAACATTTCTTTCACTCAGAAGGGTCTTCTTGTTTCTGGTGCAAGTAATAGCAAACAATATCCAAATCTGCATATCTGTTTTAGAAATCTGAAGCATGTCATTTTGCCCATGACTGTGTGACTCCTCCTAATAGTCTCCAAACTCTTTTGGGCTTCGTTATCCAGAGATACTGTGAAATACACACAAGAAGCTGAACCCTAAAGAGATCAAAGCCTCATTCCTCTGAATGCCATGTGACTACTCACATGCTCAAAATTAAAAGTGTACTTCATTAGACTGGGGTCTGTGAATCTGCTCTAAATTCTACAAGCCAGAAGAACGTCTCCAGAAGTTTGCAGGAAATCATAGTAGCCACCAAAAATTATTCCGGATCTTGTGGTTCCCAGCCCCGTGCTCTCAACATAATAATATCCAGTTTCCCACTAGAGAACCCAGTAGCATTAGCAAACACAGAAATGCAGATTGAGCTTACTGAGATGCCAGCTAGGGCTCTGAAAGGTAGACAGCTGAGCAGTGTACTGGAAAATGACCAGATATATTTAAACTGGCACGATCCAGTTCACTACGTTCTGAACCGATGCCAAAAGTTCAGGGGCATTGCGAGCACATCTTACGTAAGGGACACATATTTCTGCCATCTACTCCTGGTACTGAGCACAGTCGAGTGGAGAGCAGGGGGCAGAGGATATCCTACAGTGTTCTTTCAAACTTGACACAGATTTCCATTTTGTCACGTTCTTAGCATGTGTGTTTATTTTCCTTGAATATTCAAGCATTTGGAGCTTTACAGTTGCCAGAGCTTATGAAAAGTGCATATTTAGCTCAAAGAGTTCCCAGATGTGAATTTCAAAATGACACTGTGTTGATTAGCTATAGAAGGCAACCAGTCAAAGAGCAGAAACAATAGCATGTGACTTGGCATTCCCCAGCCAGCCAGAAAATAGTCACCCATTTAATTTTTCATGAATTGTCCAAAATCTGGGAATACAGCAAAAGTTAAAGGCTTGAACAAATGTTTCTGTTTCCTAGCCCACACCTAATGTCTTATGTTATCATCACTGCTGTTTCATCTCCTGTTGGGAAAGGTCCCGAGAAGACCTATAGGGTCATTGGAAAGGAGTGGCCAGGTTGCTCCATCACTGAAGTTATCCTGCCATGGAGACACCTGGGACTCTGCCCCACCTCTGGGGGCAAAAAATGAAATTAGGGTGAAATGCATTTATTTTCTCTTGATGTTATGCATTGTTCACAGCTGATCATTCATCATCACAGCTCACCCCTATGAATGATTCATGAGGGGACAGCTGTTCCCAGGGCCTCGGCTCCTGAGCTGCACATACCACAGGAGGCATCCCCAGGCTGGTTATGCAAGAGGTTGAGCACCTGAGAAGTGCGGAGGCCTCTTCAGCTCAAAGGGGTTGATTTTTTCAAGTGAAGGCAAGGCTACAATGCACCCTAACAGCGCAAGGGGGAAAGGAGTAGGTAAGTAGATTACATGTAGAAATAAAAGGTGTTTCAAGATACACAATAAGCCAGGCTTTAAAGAGAGGTAGTATTAGTCTGATCAGCTGGAAACACTGGGATTCAATATCCTGTATAGGATTCTTCTAGCTTCCACAAAATGCATGCATAAAACTTCATTAAAATGTTGATATGTTTTGCAGATATTGTTTGGTTTGTGTCCTATTTTTCAAGAAACGTTCTATACTTAAACTACAGGCACTACATGGACACAGTAAAGCCAGTTTTCATATCCATTTTTGATTTGCTTCTGAGTCTTGTCTTTGTATAATAAGCTGTATGTCTCACACTTTCGTGCACAGCATGTATAGCACTTTCTACTGCAGATGGAACTAAACTTCTCCTAATGAGGTTTCCCTGCTTTAAACTAATGGTAATGTAAAAATAATATCCTCTTTCTTTCTTTACTATTACCTCAACTGAAGGAGAAAGACATAAGAGACAATTTAAAAATCTATTCAAAAAGCACAGTTGGTAATATCACAGTAATTATTATTACTAATCAGATACTTTTTCAAATACAGTGACAATTTTGCCTTAAGAAAATAGGAAACTGGCAGTAGAACTGAAAGCGCAAATAATTTCTGCAATGTGTATCGATGTTGCACAAATTAAGACCATATCTTGTGCCTTTTTTCTCTCTCTGTCCTTGCCCCTTTAAAAAAAAATAAAAAAAAAAAAAAAATTACTTCCAGGATGATATTCTACTAGCAATTTTAGGAAATCCCAAGAACCCAGCAATTGCGCTGAAGAAAGAGTGGTGCTACTACTTCAAGGCCCACACACAAAATAAGATTGAATTGGCAAAATCTGATGCCATTCCTAATAAACAGCACAGATGTTTAGAATACAAGAGAAAATGCTACTTAGAATTTGGGTTTCAAACTTTTTAAAACCTCTTTGATCGAAAAAAGCATCACAGACCGACCTTTCAAAAAACAGTTCCTAACTGGAAAGCCTAGGTTTAGAATTCACATATCACTCTCTTCTTTAAGGAAGAGTAGTTTACACCAGTGCAGAATGTTTGGGGGTTTTTTTATATTTTTTTTTAACCGTACAGCTTTTGTTTTAGATATTCTCTTCCTATTTGGATAGTACTTTCTCTAAGCCTCGTTCTGACCTTTAGCTCATCCCACCACAGACTCAGTGTACAAAGTATTCAAGGTTATTTATACCACAATCATTGTTTATACAGAAGTGGGCAAACTCTGTTGTTTGTAAATGCAGGAGGGCAATTTAAAATAGAATGAATTTCAGCTGCAGAGCTGGAATTCTTTACCGTGTCTCCATAAGAGATGTACAAACCACTTACTCTGCAGAGAACAAGGTTACAAGTCGCACATCATACATACACTGGAATTACATGGTTTGTGGTAGACCTCTCTGGTGCCAGAGCCAAACTCTGTTCTCAATCTCTGGAGACAATGGGCTTGTGTTGATATAAGGTTGCAGAATTTGACTTTAAATCAGTAAGCAGGCACTCCAGACAAAAAACAACAGGCCTCTGCAGACATATGTCCTTGATCAGATATTACTTGCACATGGAAATCATTTTTAGTTACAAAATAAAGCATTTTGTTGTCTCCAGAAAGACCAATACTTTGTCTAGGCAGCCAAATGTTATGTAGCTCCCTGGAAGCCGCAGTGGTCATCCTTGCCGTAACGGAAGAGAACCATGGGAGGACTTCCCAGGGGGAGAGGTAATGCTTCTAAGGCACCTTTTTTCTCATTAACAACAGTTAGTGCAGTTCAACCTCCTCATCACAAGACCTGTGGCACCAACATCACCATACCTGCATGCAGCCCAAAGAATTAATTATAAAGACCTCTGCTTCAGGGAGTTGGACTCCATGATACTTATGGGCCCCTTCCAACTCGAGATATTCTATGATACTGTGATTCTGTACATTTCAGCTTGCTTCAGATAACATTTTCCAATGTCCATAAGGATGAACCACTAAAGCATTATTCATTTAATAAACAAGCTGCTACAGGATTCTTTCTAAGGCTCATATTTCTTTAATAAAGATCACTTTCAATGATATGATGAAAGAAGACCAAATTTGTAGAGAACAGTAGGATCCTTGAAAGTGAAGCAAGGGCAATTCCTTCAAGTACAATGTGGCTATAATATAATGCCTCTCCTCTTCTTAGTACCCTTCAGATTCCAACTGTGTGTAGAACACGATACTATTATCTGTAGGAATTAAAACAAAGAGAGAAAGAGTGGTTGGTTGCCTGGAACAAATTACAACTGTTAAAGGTGAGGCATAGCAGAGTGCAGAAACCATTAACATTAGATATGTTGTGTATGCCCATGCTGGTCACTCTCCAGGAAACATATTCTTTTCTAGCAGTTGTTTCAGTCCTATATCCTGTACCCTCACTACAGATCAAATTCAAACTGAATGCTACCAGATTCAAACATACTAAATTTTAAGTGCTTTGACTCGTAATTAAAACCTGGCATTACTTCTAATTATTTCATGTGGCAAGGATTTTTAATGATGAAGAAAAAATTTTGCTCTTGGATAACATTTATCTGCAGATTTGCATGCATTCTATCCAAAAGAGGTAAAACTGAGCATCAAAGTAGCAAAGACCACAGATGACCTCCTTAGTAGAGCTGAGGTTAGATTCCTCAATTCACTACCTTGTCCCTGGATCACTCTGCCAGGAGAAGTCAAAATTATAGAATTCATAGAATCATAGAATTGCCTAGGTTGGAAAAGACCTTTAAGATCATTCAGTCCAACCATAAACCTAGCACTGCCAAGACCACCACTGTGTCCTAACCACCAGATCTACATGTCTTTTAAACACCTCCAGGGATGGTGACTCAACCACTGCCCTGGACAGCCTAATCCAATGCTTGATAAGCCTTTTGGTGTAGAATTTTTTCCTAATATCCAATCTAAACCTCCCCTGGCACAACTTGAGGCCATTTCCTCTTATCCTCCCACTTGTTACCTGGGAGAAGAGACTGACCCCCAACTTTGCTACGACCTCCTTTCAGGTAGTTGTAGAGAGTGATAAGGTCTCTCCTCAGCCTCCTTTTCTCCAGGCTAAACAACCCCAGCTCCCTCAGCCGCTCACCACAAAACTTGTTCTCTAGATCCTTCACCAGCTTCATTGCCCTTTGAACATGCTCCAGCACCTCAACCTCTTTCTTCTAATGAGGAAGAATTGAACTGAACACAGAATTCAACGTGCAGCCTCAATAGGGCCCAGTAAAGGGGGACGATTGCTTCCCTGATCCTGCTGGCCACACTATCTCTGATACAAGCCAGTATACTACTGGCCTTCTTGGCCACCTGGGCACACTGCTGGCTTGTATTCAGTTGGCTATCAACCAACATTCCCAGGTCCTTCTCTGCCAGGCAGCTTTCCAACCACTCTTCCCCAACCCTGTAGTGCCTGCATGGGGTTGTTGTGACCCAAGCGCAGCACCTGGCACTTGCCTTTGTTGAACCTCATACCATTGGCCTATACATTTTCTATCTTCCAGTCAACTAGGGCCTCCCCAGTTGGCCAGGACTGATGATAAATGATGGAAAGTGGCTTGGTGAGCACTTCCACCAGCTCCCTCAGTACCCTTGGGTGGATGACATCAAGCCCCATAGACTTGTGTATGTCTAAGTGGTGTAGCAAGTGACTAAACATTTCTTCTTGGATTATGGGGGCTTGATTCTGCTCCCTGTCCCTGCCTTCCAGCTCAGGGGGCTGGGCACTCTGAGGACAACTGTTCTTACTCCTAAGGTAAAGAAGGCATTAAGTACCTCAGCCGTTTCATCATTCTTTGCCGCTCTGTTTCCACCCAGATTAATTTCTAGGCAGGTTTTGGCCTTTCTAATTTTCTCCCTGTGTAACCTCACAACATCCTTGAAGTCCTTCTGAGTCACTCCCCAAAATATCCCTTATCTTTGTGAAGAACTTGTCTTAGAATAATTCCAGACTCTTTCCATATTACTGGTAGGCTTCTGCGCTTATGTTTATATCCAGACTGTCCTCTGGATCTTCAGTCATTTGCAGAGATGTGTGTGCACTGTGGCTCTTTTAAAGACCACTGATTCCTGCAGAACTAACTCACTGCCCACTAATCTGCTGCCAGGCATCACTATGGGAGACAACACCTCACCACGGCAAACAGATGCTGAAACTACTTCAGATCCACTCTGCTGTTGTAAATGTGCTTTCTATATAGTAAGTGGCAAAGAAAATTGCAAAGCAGAGGTTAGACTAAATGACTTCCTAAGGTCACTTCAAACCTGAATTTTCCTGTGATCCTATGACAGGTGGCAATGTGGCACATGAGACACATACTGCTCCTACTGCATAAACCTGAGGATTTACTGTCTATTATTACTAAGCTGTTGTTACAGTTCTGCCATCTGATGTGAGGTGCTGCATGAGCCAACATCCTGATCATGTGAACTGCCTTCCTCTGATATGCTTCTCCATATAAAATACTAACATATTTGTATTTATAATTTATACATCTATAAATTATAAATAATACTATTCATTATATTGGCCCACACGAAAAAGTCCAGTGAAGACAGCATGAGCCAAACTAACACCCAAGCAACTCTGACAATTTAGCAATGTCTGCGCACTGTGCTACATCCTTAAAGCAGAAGCCCACACATGAAGACAGAGCATGAAGTGCCTTTCCTGGGGCTTTACGGCAACTAGGGCTGTGCCGCCAGGAACAGCACAGCTCTCAGCCACGTTCAACAGTTGTGCAACACTGATTTGGAGCAATATCAGAATAGGACCCCCCTCTATCACAAAAATAGGGCTGACAAAGTTGTGGAAGGAGCCAACACTTAACAACAGATAGAGCGCGTGGCAAAAGGGAATGCTGCTTTGAGCATAACGTAAGATAAGATTACTCTCATACAGCATTGCTGTTTGCAGGAAGAGAGATGTTACCCCTCCAACACAGGCACAATCACACATTGTAATGAATCACAGATTAACCATGATGTTTTTCCTGCAGATTCAAAGGGCTGTTGTGGAGTAGAAGGCTGTGGGGGTGGTTGTCCTACAGCTAACAGTGCCAGAGAGTTGCCTCATTTCACTTGAGAGGAGGAATTCCAATATTACACTAATAGAAGTGCTCAAAACCCCCTTTTCCCACCTGTGCTGTGCTTGGCATCATGAACTCAGTCCTCAGATATTAAGTATTTCAGATTATTTCAATAAACAGTCCACTACCTGGTGTCAAAATCCAGAGAGTGATTCAAAGCATGCACACTTCAATGGAAAGACGTGCCCTGACTCCCATCCTGACTCACAGGGGCTGAGGGTCAGGCTCGTAGAGTCCGCACATGACTGGTAATTTTTAAATGATTACAATGAAAGGAAAGACTGCCTTTTTAATGCCCAAGCACAACAGCTGCAATGTCATTGGGGTTGTGTTCTGAGATGCTCCTAGACTGCAGCCCAAATAAGTGTCTTAATGATACTTTGAAAATATGTAAAGCACTTCTTTTATATGCAATGACAATTCTGTCTGGGCACATTGTCTGTTTGTCCAGCCAAAACAGAATTAGAATTAGTGAACCAGATTCTACTCCGATTTGTACAATGTGCAGCTACAGTAAATGCAATGAAGCTACACTGTGTGTAAACAAGGGCAGACTTGGACTAAGTTACTTTATTTATGACAGTGAGCTTACAGTTACATAGCACCTTTCAACTTCAGTGGATCTACTGGTTCTCTGAAAAGTGATGCACTACACAAGGCTCTGCTTTCTTTAGAAAGAGCTACTGTTTAACAGTTCTTAACCATCAGCTTCAGAAAGCTCATGCAAAAATAAAAGTTGTCATCAAAGCTACAGAAAGAGTTTGGGGAAGCAAACTATAATTATACAGGAATTTGGACAGTGTGCAGGCACTTCACCTCTATTCTGTAAGAAATGCTTTTAGAGACTTCAATAACGATCATATTTGATCATAGCCTTGTCTTGTTACCATATAGACAAGACAGCTTCTCTGGCATAATGGCCCAAAGGTGATAGTTTGAGTCACTCAGAGGTGACACCAAGTGATGACTCAAAGGTGTATTACTGGTTCAAAGAACTATCATCTCTTAGTTGCAGTAGTTGTTATGTATGGTAATTACGTTACTATGTTATATATGGTAATTTATATGGTATAAAAATATATCTGATGTTAAACAAGTAGCAAAATATAGACTAGGTTCTTGTCTTAAAAAAAGGGGGTAAATGAAATTAGTTCATTGAGGTGCACAGCACCATCTACAAAAGGGAACACCTGATGTCCCACAACTTAATACTATTGACATCTCAAAGGAAGGAAGTGATGACCTAAGTGCAACATGAAGGAAAATAGTGATGGTTGAGAAAACAGTAATAACTGACTCTGTCGGTGGGTGGTGAATTAGAAACAGAGAAATGAACCAGTATTGGTGCCAGCAATTCTCTCATATTCCTATTGCCCTTCTATTAGACCAGTCTAAGGGCAGCACCATCCCAGACAATATCTGATGTATCTTGGGATTATAATTGCTACCCGTTAGACATTTGGCTTTTGTGGATTCTTCTAGAGCGAGTGAGGAGTTATGCAGGAAGATACAAGCCTGTCCGTCTGAAAGACAATCCACCACTAATTTAAAAACCCATAAGGGAAAAAAAGGAACTGCTTTATTCCAAAACTTAGCTTTTTGTAGGCAATGTCGTGATATATAAAGCAAGACTACCTAATGAATGATACCTGCTTGTCAGCACTCTGCACACTGAGGGATAGGCATTTCCACACACTAATAGGCTCATTAAAATCTGGAGGCTGGAGAAGTTTGTAGCTCTTCCCCGTTCTGGCCTTTCACTTGGCTTCCCCTAGAAAAGGCAATTGTCCGTTTTCTTCTTTCTTTCAGTGACAGTACCTGTAATTAAAATAAGATTTAAGGAATGGGGTGCAGGATAGAGGGAAAGGAGGCTAATGTAAAAGTCCTGAGAAACTTTAAGAGGCCTCAGCTGCTCGTTAGGCAATATCTACACAGCCACCAGTATGCAGGTGAATACGGGAGGTATACCTTAGGGACAAACAACAAATCAAGTGTGACACTCCAGCTTATTGGATGGAGAAGAGCCCCCTGGGAACTGGCAGCATAGTCCCTGAGAGTGAAGTGATTTCGGTGAAAACGTATGGAAGCCAGCATATGGTTATGTCCTCTGACTCCTTATTATACTTTAAAGGACAGTGGTCTGGTAATAGCATGGGATTATAATGCTACAGCAGCCCAGAGCATATGTGCTTCCCTCCCAGTAAAAACTTCTGTCCCCTTCATACACCTATCAGGCTGTGCCTGTCTGATTGACTACAGCAAGTGACTTTGGCAGGGCAACATACAGCCCTGAGGAGGGAGGGCTATAACATATTAATATAAGAATGTAGTTGATTACAATATAAGCCGCTGAAAGCGAGCTGACTATAGCACAAGACTGGAAGAATGTGGCTGTCTGCAGGGTCCCGCCGGGAGAATGCATCTATCTATACCTACAAGCGTGCGGCTGACTGCAGGCAGCTGTCATGCAATTGGAGTGGTCTGGTGGGGTTGTCACCTATCAAACCATCGCACCCGCCGTTATTGTGCATTTAAATACACCTCCCATCTGCCTCCTGGCAGCTAACTAGCGCTTGTCTCCAGCAAGGGAGGAGGAGGAGGAGGAAGGGGTCTCTCTGGCTTTGATTAGAAGTTTCTGAATCTTCAATTTGACAGAAAGTTTTGTCCTTCAACTAGCAAATGCCACTCAGCTCTTGTACTCAAGGGAATGATTCCATTATTAAGAATCTGATTTATTTTTAATAACCCTTCTGCTGTATATATAGGAACACCCTGGATATTATAATCTAAAAAAATCCCTAAGGGTAATTTGTTTTGGAACAAATATACTGTCTGGGAATTTTTGAGTAGTGGACAGTAAACAAGTGAGGTGCATTTTCTATATCTGATGTGTTGTAAGAACACACTGTAATATATGGGGGTTTTTGTTTTCTTCTTCTGATATACACAAGCAACATTTAAATAATAAAGCATTGCAAAAAATAGATCTAAATAAATTCTTAATAAAGGACAACCAATCCTGCAATCAGACCCGTCAGACCCATCCCGCCCGAACGCCAAAGAGTCCACCTGCTCTGAGCTGACTGCTATATTTATATATGTATCAGGCTGGGATTTGCCAGTTACTCTCTGCCCTTAGTTAATGGAGCTCAGCCCTGCACGGTCTCAGAGAGGATGCTTAGGATACCTCCACACAGGGCTGTGGCCATCCTCTCCAGCTGGTGCAGCATGCCTTCCCATGCCCAGCTCCCCTTCCGAGTGACAGGCCCTTCCAGGCACCTGTCTTCTCCTTATCGCTGGAGTCATCCACTGCCTTTTAGCTCTCACCTTCCTTTGCCAGGTCTCCTGCCCCAGAGGCTTCACATGCAAGTGTTAGCTGGCCTCACCTCTCTTTCTTCAGTCCTGGTACATGTGAGTCCATGCAAACATCCCAGGTTGGAGCTTTTGTTGTCACTCTCCATTTACATGATTTGAGTGGGCCGAGCTTTTTCCTCTTCAGTTGTATGAGCTATTAGTATGTGAATGTTTTGTCCCCTTCTTCCCCTGAAAAAGAAAGCTTAAAATGTTATTTGCTTTGGATTCTGAGAAGTACAAACTCTACCACATGGCAGACACATGTGAATCCATATGCTAGCATGTCTGTAAAGCCGAGAGATTAAAGCCTGAAGCTTCTATTAAATGCTCTCCTTTTTTTCTTGCATGCAACATTTTTAGATTGAGCTCTAAATGTTCACCGACTCATGAATATTTTTGAGCCAGCTCTGTTCACTGTGATAAATCATGCTGCTTATGTGTTGGTTTAGTGACAGATAGTTACCTGAAAACTTCTAATGTAAAATGGTTTATGGCCATCTGAAGGGAAAAAAATCTGTGATCTTTGCCTGACTGCTGGAACAGTATGACAAGAGGAAACATACTGTATTCAAGCCCCACAGCATGCCAACTTTCTTTCTTTCTTCTAGAAATGGACAGAACTGAAAGGAAAATGACTGCTGGCATATTGTGAAAGTACTTCCAAGTTTGTACAAGCTCCAGTGATAGATGCAAACACAGACAAAACCCTTCATAGGAAACAAAAAGTTTTGCAAAGAAATCTGAAAAATATCCTATGAAAGAAATAAAACCATCCTTCCAACAAAAAGAAACAAACGCTCTCTAGGCTTATGTTCCAGAGTCAGATTTATTGTAGTTACTAAACCAAATACAGATACTAGAGAACGTTATTCACACTGTAAAAAGCACATATTGTATTTAAAGCAATGCAAAGACAGCTTTTCTTCTTTTAGAGATCCCAAATACAAGGATTGCCTTGTCTCCTTGAAAGTTAACTACCTTGAATCACCTCACATTACCATGGTGCACGAGCGTATGAACAGGAGGTTGGCTGACAAGTTACCCTGCGTGAACTGCTCTGTGATAGCAGCTTGTATGTACATTTCCACACAGCTGTAAATGCAGGACAGTCGGAGTTAGCTGAGCCCTAATCAAATTCAGCCCTTGAATTAGAGATCCCTCTGGGATGGGGAAAAAGTAGTCTTCCATTCAGGTGAAGAATGAGAAGGAAACTACCTTCAGACAGTTAGCAGAGAGCCATTATCCCTCCCCATGATGGTGACTGAGCAGCAGCAATCTTTACTGGAGTCATCATTAAATGTCTCAGATCACCCACCACACCAGCCCTGTGCTGATGAAAACAGCGATTGGGCTTTTAGTTCCTCCCCTGCCAATCCTTTAATCTTACATCAGTCCTAAAAACTGACAAGTTCTTCATAGAATAGAACAGTTCTAGAGAAATATGAAATTTCATTCCTTTGAAATAGAAATGTAAGAGGTAATGGAAAAAATTTCCTCTCATTGCTGGGTGGAAGTGCATTAGCATAATACAGGATTCTGTAGTTAGGCTAATAAATTGTGTTTATTTTCTTGATGAGAAGTAAATCGCATCATAGTTATACTACCATCATTAATATGACATCATCACTCTGTGAATAGTTCAGCTCTGGCCTCTGAGTAAGACCTGACAAAGGTTTCTTACAGGGTGGAAACAAATTCCACCATCTCTTTTAATGATCAAAGTCAGGAAATCTAGGCTCTTTTTTTTTCCCAAGGGAATCCAAAGGAATAGCCACCAAGATCCTGCTGGTTTTCGGTAAGATCTGGACATAACTCCCTATAGATGCCTTTGAAAATATTGGCTTGAATTGCTCAGCCAAGAGTAAAATTCAGCTCAGTAAATCCAGACGACACCACTACCATCAGTTGCACTGAGTGGGAAGGATGAAGGGTAATTACAGTCCCAGCTGCCAAATTCACCTCAGTTGCAAGTAATCATGATTTGCACTGGAATTAGGAGATAGGGGAGACACAGATACTCTGAAAATCAAGCCACTTTTATTAAATGGTAAAACATGGACATAAGCACTTCATCTGTGCTTGAAAATCTTCACCTCAGTGGCTAGGGAAGATCAGAAAGTAAATCTGTGCAGGGATATGAATGACCAAGACCATTCTAGTCCCCAACAAGCAGACCATGCCTCCTTTCTTATTAAAAATACCAGAGTACCGTGGTCTCTACTCAGATTAGTACTTTTGCATTTTTTATAATTAGATAATACTAACAATGAACTCCCCATAACTGCCACAGTTTTGCTGATACAGACTGCTTACATAAAGTTACATGTATTTGTAGTAAAAGTACTTGTGTTTATTAAACTATTGTTATACTATCATACCATTGTTCTTTATTAAACTATCCAACTGTTATTCTTTTATCTGTATCCAATAAACTAGTGTGTTAAAACAGCCCCTCCGTTAGAAAGCAGTTATTTACAGTGTAAGAGCAGAGTAGCACAGTGATCCACCATCACCTGAAGCTCTCAGGAAACCCCTGCAACGATAAAAGGTGGCACGCGTCTCCGCAGCTGCGGCACCTCATTCCTGAACCCCAGCCCTCTGTAGTTCCCAGTCCTTTCCGTGGAGGCACCCTCCAGAGGCACTGCTGCTCGGCACTCCCAGCAAGTTCTGCAGCAGCCACTCCACACACTTGCCGTTCTAATTTGGAGGAAACTCCATCCTGGAGTGTTCAATATAGGAAATAAGGAGACAAGATACTTAAGGCAAAAAATAGAGCCATGTTAAGTCACCTACCATTCTTAGCATCAGAAGCCTGCTGGGGCCATTTTCATATTACGGTACTAAACACAGCAATCAAAACAGAAAAGGCAGGTGGAAACAAAAGGGTTTACTACGGAGACAAAAACAATCAGATTTAATGTTTTGAAAAGCTTTTGGCTTAGTGGCCCATTTCTTTCAGACTATTCTGTACATACATCAAAAATTTTTCAATAAAAAACATTCTATTGCTTGCAGGGGCCTGGGGCCAGCTATGAAGGAGGCACGTTGGCTTTACAGAGCAACCACTGTCTTACAGACAATCAATCAGAAAAGCTCAGTCCAGAGCATCTTATTGTTCTCATAACTGTGGTATCTGACCACCTTTAGGAGTAGATTTCTTGGAAGAAGTAGGTAAAGATTAATAAATTAAGGAATTAAGTAAACACACCTGGATTTTCTGTGCAGTGCTGTGGTGATCAGTGATCTGGATCTAATCTCTTACCTTCAGTGAAGTGTAAATTCAGCAGTGATTTGGATCTCAATCTGGATTTGAAAGTTAGATATTTAATAGGCCAGACTAAATCCATGATCTGCAGACATTTGGAATTCAAGCAGGAATATGACTGGAAACAAGACTATCTCTTCTTTAAATTAGCCTCCTCTTTCCAATTTTCTCAGCTTGCCATCTTCAGCCTGCCTCAAAACCAGTCACCATAGAGAACAACACACTTACCTGTTACTGGCAATCTTTGCTTTGTATTCTTGCTGTTCTCTCTTACTAGTTCAGAGTTAACACATTGATTTAAAAAAAAAAAAAAAAAGAAAAGAAAAAAAAAAGACAACCTAAATTGCTTTTCCCTGAATCATCTAATTAAATTACCTCCCTACAGTAGCTGAGCTAATTGTTCTTACCCTACAATTTTATATTCCCATTTCACCTTTGCTGGCTATTTTCTAACCATGCTTCCTATCAGTTTCCCAGAAGAAACAATCTACCACTTAGCGTAATATTCTTTTCCTTGAAGGAGAGGCAAAGTACTTTGGAGCTCCTCCAGAGTGAGTTTTAAGGACCTGAAATGCAAAGTTCAATAGCACTTGCAAAATTCAATAACACTATTCCTTATTCTCCTGTTTCCATACAGCTGATAGATCCTGATGGAAACCATCTTACTCTCATCCCCATCTAGCAGTCAGGTGAATAATTCAGAAGAGTAGCTAGAAAACTCCAATTTTGGAGTGGCTGGGAGAGATCACATCATTATGGTCACCTCTCAGACTTCTGCCACAAGCATTTATCTAATATCCCAACTCAGCTACAACTCATAGATTTGAAGCAGGAACTAATTCAGGTAAAATCAGGAGGAGCGAAAGGACAAGAGGAAACAGCCTCAAGTTGTGCCAGGGGAGGTTTAGATTGGATATTAGGAGCCAAAAGGGTTATTAAGCATTGGAAGAAGATGCCCAGGGAAGTGGTGGAGTCCTCATCCCTGCAGGTATTTAAAAGATGGGTAGATGTGGTGCTTTGTGACATGGTATAGTGATGGTTTTTGTTGGTGTTAGGTTGACCTCAATGATCTGAAAGATCCCTTCCAACCTACTCAGTTGTATGAGTCAAAAAATAAAATACATAAATATAGACCTGTTCTGCAGTAGTCTTTATACAGCACTGTCACACATTTTTACCTACAGAGACTACCACTATTTCTCAAGTGGCCCAAAATGATTGTTAACACATGGAAAAAAAAAAAGAGAAAATGCCTTCTTCATTAGCCAGTCTCCAAAATTTTCCTCAACTACTTGCAATATCAAGCATGCTATGATAGGAAACATTCTTCAGACAGGCTTCCACAATTCCACATGCAGTTTTCATAAAATCAATACATGTAATATAGGGATAAGTGTGGACCTCAGAGAATACTGCTCCCCTTTCAGGTACATATTTGAGGTCAAGTTTGAAAGAAATCAGAATATCAGTATGAAGAGGTCTATAATTCCACTGCACATTTTCCTTGTTTTTTGTGTACAGAGAAATTATACATATAGTTTATGTGTAAAGTTTTCAGATGGTTATTTTCAGACTAAATGTTGCTGCCTAGATTACGTACAAACAGGAGACAAACCGTTTTATTTCTATATTCCTACTCAATATAGGTGAATCAGTTTTTCCTTGGTTTTTTTGTGTCAACTAAATGCTTTTTTTTTTTCCCAGATTTATATAGCATCATATTGATTTTAGGATCATAGCAATTTGTCAAGGACCACTTTTATTACCAGAATTTAAAGACTAGACACAGCAACTGGATCTCATGAGCAATCTTGGGCACACAGATAAGTTTAGCAATGAACAGAATAATAGGTATATAAACCTAAGGTTCAGAAGATGGAAAGTACATTCAATCACTTCAGGAAAAAAAAAAAGGAAATATTTG